CCAAGATGGCCAAACTTCACCTCTCATACTTCAGACATATTGTCAGGAGGGACCTGTCTCTGGAGAAGGATATCATGTTTGGTAAGGCGGAGGGACATAGAAAGAGAGGAAGACCCCCAGTAAAATGGATTGGCCAAGTGGCAGCATTGATGGACTCAAGCGTGGTAACAGTAGTGAGGTTGGCCCAGGATCGGGCAGTGTTTCATTCTGCTATGCATAAGGTCACTATGGGTCAGTAGTAACTCGATGGCACCTATCAACAACAACATACAGAGTCACTATGGGTCAGAATCAACTTGACGGTACTTAACAAGAGTTGGAACCAACTTGACGGCACCCAACAACCACAACAAAAGCTTACAAAAGGTCAGTAAGCTATATCACCTTCTTGCATGCACACACACACACATACTGTCTCTCTCTTTTCCACTCCCCTCCCCCTCCCTCTCTCTCATGCACATGCATGTGCACACATATATGCAGACAGTGGAGAAAGGGAAGTGAGACTTCTACAAAACTTGCCCTACACTCCCTTCCAGATCTACCCACATGATCTCTTCAGTGGCTTCCTCTTGGGGTAGTCACAGTCTAGAAAGTTAGCCCCAAGTCCTTCTCCTTCCACTTACTAGAAGTGAGTGATCTTGACTAAGTCACCAACGTAACTAGATGACCCTGCTGGTGGGTTCTGTCATTTGTTGTCATTCTATAGTTCAATGTGATATACCTGAATGACAATAAACAAGACATTTCAATGAGCCATTCAGATGCAAATGGACACATAGTTTTTAAAGCTGTTTATATTTTTTTAGTTTTAGATTTTGTCTGACTTCTTTTTAAAGAGTTAAAAATAAAATAGCTACTATTTTCCAACAATTATTATCTGCCAAATTCCGTACTAACCCTTTACGCACATTGTCTCATTTACCACACAGCTCTATGAAAATGTTATCTCCATTTTACACATGTGGAAATGGAGTTTTTGCTTTATTTAATTGCTGAATATAGTTCAAAAATGGCTCCATCATTACAACAGGGAACCACTGCGAGAAATTCAATCCAGATTTAGAAGAGGACATGGAACAAGGGCTAATTTGCTGATGTAAGATGCATCTTTGACTACACAAAGGTTTTCAACTATGTACACCATCACAAATTATGAATAACATTACAAAGAACTGGAATTCCAGAATACTTCATTGTGTTTATGTGAAAGCTGTACATATACCAGTCATTTAAACAGAACAAGGGGACACTGCATGGTTTAAAAAAGAAAAAGTGTGTGTTCGAGTTGTATCATTTCCCCATATTTATTCAGTCTGTATGCTGAGTAAATAATCCAAGAAACTGGGTTATATGAAGAAGAGCACAGAATTAAGACTTTAAGAGAAGACTCATTAACAGTATGTTATATACAGAAGATACAACATTGTTTGCTGAAACCACAAAGGACTTGAAGCCTTTATTGATGAAGATAAAAGACTTCAGCGTGGATTGCATAAAGAAAACAAAAACCCTCACAATATGAGATTAAAAGAAGTGTTTGATTTATTTAATGTTAAATGATCTGCTCTTTGAACATCACTCAAAACATCACTCTGCAAACAAACTCTCTAAAATTCACTCAATTCACACACAAAAAAGTTTCCAAAAAAAAAAAAATCCTTACAACTAGACCAATAAGTAACATCATGATAAATGGAAAAGACTGAAGTTGTCAAGGATTTCATTTTAGTTGTGTCCACAATCAATGCCTATGGAAGCAGCAGGCAAGAAATCAAGTGATGTATTGCATTGGATTAATCTCCTGCAAAAGAGCACTTTAAAGTGTTTAAAAGCAAAGATGTTAGTTTGAGGATTAAAGTGCCTGACCCAAGTCATGCATGGTATTTTCAATCACCTCATATGCATGTGAAACCTGAACAATGAGTAAGGAAGTCCAAAGAACTGATGTATTTGAATTATGGTGCTGATGAAGATTATTGAATATACCATGAACTGTCAAAAGAATGACCAATTCTATTTGGAAGAAGTTCTGCCAGAATGCTCCTGAGAAGCTAGGATGACAACTCATGAACTTTGGACATTATCAGGAGGGACCTGTCCCTGGAGAAAAACACCATGCTTGATAACGAAGAAAGCCAGTTAAAAATAAATAAATAAACAAACAACCTTCCATGAAATGGACTGCAAGGAAAGTGCAGTGCCAGACAGCATTTTGATCTGTTGAACATGGTGTCAATATGAGTTGGAACTGTCCTGGTGTGGCGCTGTGGGCTAATGTGCCAGACTGCAAAGCCGTTTGAACTGCAAGGTCGGTGGTTCAAGCTCACCTGCTGTTCCTCGGAAACCCTATACAGGGTCACTATGTGTCGGAACCAACTTAGCGTCACTTCACAACACAACAACAACAACAGTAAAAGCAACAAATTGCTGCAAGTTGCCAAACTAAACTGGAAGTTAGGTCCAAGGTTGTCTTAAAGATGCTAAATTAACAACTTCCTTCTGCAGAAATGTTTATCTTTAGGAGTATTCTTATAGAAATGAATTTAAGTGCTAGTTTTCCAGAATTGTGAAAGGCAACTATTGTTTGAGAATGTACAGAGATGCCACCCATTGACATCTGAGCCTCACCTTGTCACATTCCTCAAATTCCAAGGCAAAGGATTGAGCAATGTGAAAATAGCAACTCTAAGATAAACGTCTGATAAAGGACTCAAATCATCCAACCTGTGCTGGAAATCAAGCAAAAGGAGGCCAAAGGTTCTTCTAGCCTGTGATGTCTATCAATGGTGCATGTAGGAGACAGCTGGGAAGGTCATGGTGCTTTTTCAAAGTAAACTAAAGAACCAATATGCCCAAGATTATTTTAAAGTTTTATTAAAAATACTGGCACAAACACTTTTAAAAAAAAATTGGTATAGACCCAAACGTATGAAATAAGCTCTTTAGTCACATTTTGCTGAGTGCTTATTCTGTGTAAGGCAGAGATGTGATAGTGGGTAAGTTCAACACTATGTTGTTGGATAAAAACTCTCATGATTGAGTACTGGGCACTATGCTAAAATGTTATCATTATTTTTTCCATTAATTCTCCAATACCCTCTGAAGTGGGTAACATGCTGAACGCCACAAGGACAGGCTTGTTCTTCTTTGCACCGGTTCTATCTACTTAGAAAATAGACTAGTGCCCATAACAATGTTGGAGTCAATTGCTGAATCAGTTGATGGATATGATCTCATTTTCTATGCTTATAAACTGAGGCCAAGTAACTCTTCCAAACTTGAACAATTAGAACATGCATAAGACAGGATTTGAACCCAGATCTAGAGCCTGTTCTCTCAACCTCTTTGAGAAATCACACTGCTTCTCAAACTGGAATCTTGCCAACTTAACTCCACAAGCAGGGATATCAGATCCATTCCACCTACATCCATATTTATGCTAAAGAGCCACAAAAAATTGGAATGGGGAATGAACAGATTTACTAAGAAAGTGGCAAAGAATTTGCTGGTAGTTTAAGCCACCACCTTGTTTAAACTGAAAACTCACAGCTCAACTTTGGGAACGAGAGAACATGGAATTGTAATATCTGTTTGGCACAATTTTCATCTGATATCAGGAACAAAAAGATAATCCTGCATCCTACTGCTTTTGATATGAGCCATGAGCCACATGTATAAGCTTGTATTGGGAAATGGCTGAGACAAGTAAGGGTTAGGATTTTCAAAGTATCTCTTAGTTGTTGTTGTTAAGTGCCGTGGAATCGGTTCCGACTCATGGTGACCCTGCTCAGGGTTTCCGAGGCTGTAAATCTTTACGGGAGCAGAACGCCTCATCTTTCTCCCGTGGAACCGCTGGTAGTTTCGAACTGCGGACCTTACAGTTCACAGCCCGATTCGTAACCACTACGCTACATGACAAATTGAAGGAGGAAGCCAGGAAGTCTCCTTGCTATAGCAGAACCCAGCACTCTCTGCAGTGCAAAAACAAGGACATAATAGCACTGGTCACATGATTTCATTTTTAAAGAGGACTTCACAGAAAACTGTGAACTCTACTAGCTAGACCTTACATTTTCTGAGGTTATGATACCAGATGGGGAAAGAAGTACTCATTAAGTGCATCCTGGCAAACATTGTGAATGTAAGGCCTGATTATGAAATCAATGTAGCAGAAGACATTCTGTACCAGGTAAAACAAGATACGACCTTGATTATGTACAAGAATCTGGGAGGGAAAGAACGTAGACTCCTCCCACAAGATTATAAATTACTACAGAATGCAGAGTGGAAGATATTTAAATAAATGTTTTCTTCTCATCAATCCTGAGTAAAAAGTCAACCTCTAGGATGGAACACTAAAAGAGACAGAAAAATAGGAGGAGAAGGTAGGATTTGAAGGAAAGGAAAGGGATTCAAGAACTCTGTACCAATAAGGAATTGCTCACATAGCAAAACTTATCAGGATAAAACTACAGGGAAATAAAAATGTAATCCTCATTAGTTCAATTAAGGGAGAGATGGCACACCCACACAAAAAAATAATGATCAGTTCCTAGTGATGCAGACAGCAAGAGGTACTAAGCACTAAACAAGAAGGAAAGTCATATTGTGAAAGGTCAGGTAACTACAGGTGTTTTATTTTTTCAAAAAGGATATAAAATGCACCTAAACTTCATTGCCTAAACAGTAGCATTTTCTGAGAGATGATACTGGTGATAAAGTGCTCAATACTATGGACTTAGACAAAAGATCCAAATGCAGCCTTTGTACACTCTTGATAGTGCCCTGGGTTAGTATTTACTTATAGCACTTGACAATTCAAAGAGGGAAACTTAGCATCTTATAAATCTAAATTTAAAACCATCAAAACTTTGTAGTTTACTGCATTAACCCACAGAGCCACACCAGTACTCTATATATATTATGGTTTTAACAAACAGAAATTTATTCTTTCTCAATTTAGGAGACAAAAAGTCCGAATACATAGTGCCAGCTTTAGAAGGAGACTTTCTCTCTGAGTCAACTAACTCTGAAAAAAAATCCTCTTTTCAACATCTGTTGCAAATCTCCATGTGTCTTGGTGTCAATCGTCCCCTGAGCCTAGGAGGTTCTCAGCACAGAGATTCTGGGTCCAAAGGACACACTCTCCTCCCAGATCTTCTTTTGTGGCTGTAATCAGGTCCTTCTCCCTCTGCTTACCTCTCTCCTTTTATTTCTTGTAAGATACAAGGTGATCTGTGGTGCTCCCCTTACATTGGGTCAGGGCTGTAACCTGAGTTAGGGTGTTGCATTCCATCCTAACCCTCTTATGATTGATTGACTGATCACATCAGATCACTGACAAATTACAGAATGACATAATTGCCAAACCACTGAAAATCATGGCCAAGAAAAAGCATATTTGAATAAGGTGTCTCTGAATAAAGATGAGGGATTTCAAGAACACAAATCACTGTGGATGAGCAGCCTTTGACGGCCTATGTGCCTCACTCAGATATAGAAAACCTTCACTCAGTGCAGATCTACCATCTATCCAGCATTTACAGAACCTGGAGAAAGATGACCTCATGATCCTTTATTGAAATAAGATCCTCATCTAAACTGGACTTCAACCTACCATCTGCCCTCCAAAGTCAATACAATTTTACAGTTTTATGAACTGGAGAGGGGACTTTTCAGAACAAAAGTCAAGTGGCAGAACGTGTAAAAAGAGTTTAATCTTCAGGTAAGAAAACAATGAAACAATAAAGTATATTACCTGTGTGGTGACCATGAGTATCTTCAAAATTTGCAAACCCAGTTTCCACGGAATCTGGTGTCTGGCTCGGTACTTTTCACAGGGGTTCATGAAGTAAAACTTCAAATCTTCCCTCAGCCCTTCTTCCTTCACCTCAGAATCAATATGGGCCATCGCATTTCTGCCACAGAAGATCATTTTGAAAATACCCATAAGAGGACATTGAACTGAAAGGTCCTGAATAATACTTTGCAATCACATGCTTTACTCAATCTAATAAACAAAAGTTTCCAACCAGTGAACTTCTTTCCTCTTTAGAAACATGAAAGCTATTCAGGATCCTCTATACCTACCTTTCCACACATTCACCCTTCTTGTTCAAAATGGCCATTTTCAAAGATCACAGAAGTAGGCTCTTATGTTTGTAAGATTTATCAAATTTTATATCTTAGAATACACTTGTCACTGGAATATGATGAAAATGTGTGTGTGTTTGCATGTACAAAAATTAGATGGGACACTCTGATGACACTCCAGATGTAAAACCACAGAAATTTAGTACAGACTAATGGAGTCCTAAGGATCTCTGGTAGCATAGTGGTTATGAATCGGGCTGTGAATCGCAAGGTCAGCAGTTCGAAACTACCAGCGGTTCTGCGGGAGAAAGAGGAGGCGTTCTGCTCAAATAAAGATTTACAGCCTCGGAAACCCTGTGCAGGGTTGCTATGAGTC